CATTGTCGGAATGCGGACGTTGATAACGATATTTTTATGCGATTATGGTCGCTCCCAAGACTGTGGTCGCCAGCCTCGTCGACGTATACCCGAGACGTATGCACGGATAGTTTGCGTGACATCAGGACGTAGTCGATGATAAACTTGTTGTTCCTCGCGCACCATGTGAAAACACTATCACAGTCACTGTGCAAGTTGGCCACCTCGAGGGACAAATCTTCGGCCAATTGTAGCATGAGAGATCCAGCACTTCTCAGCACCATTTGCTGCGAGCTGGTCATGCCACCTGTCGTCTAACAGTGACAACTACGCAGGATTTTCAAAGGTTCCGAGATTAGCGCTTAGAAAAAAAAAAAACAGATCTTGGAGGTTACGTAGGACGGAGAGCAGGCAGCCTCCGAGAGAGAGAGATTGTGGGGGGAGGGGGGTGAAGAGTAAGTGGGGCTATTTTCTGCGCTCCGGCCTCCGTGCCATTTTTCCGTTTTTCTCTCCGCTCCCTGTCAACGCCGACTCGTAACTCGGCACCCGCCCTATCGAGTGACTAGCCAAGCCGCCGACGCGGTGGCACGTAGTTCGAATTATCTGCGGCGGAACTGACTCGCGTTCAAATTAACGGGCTCTTTTATTCATAGGCTTGTATAGAGCTTGGTCGGACCACAACTTACAGTTCGAATTATACATAAACTCGAATTATTGACGTTCAAATTAACGAGCTTTCACTGTACTGAAAATTGAAATTTCCCATTATGTAGCGTTCATATAGGCACAGATTCTTAAAATAGTGATTTATAGGGACTATGAAAACACTATAAAACACCTTCTTAACCTTCAATTCATGCTCTTATATGAAAGTGGCACGATAGTATGGTCCCTAGAATATACTGGCCAGTCTGCCATCTCTGCGCCGTCCCCATGCAAGTCCATGTCGGCGCCGCTTATGCATGCGTAGGGCGCACTGCAGTCTACCGGAGCGCGTTTGTGGCGCAATTGCATACGCTGAGCAGGGGGGGATCGGTGGCACATCGTGCCTTGTATTCTATTATTGTACTCCTGGATGAACTACTCCTTCCATTTCTGTTTGAGTGGGCAAAGACTGAACCGTGTTTAACAGGCCAAAGGTTACATCCAACGTTATTTCTCTTCGAGGCACTCACGTGACCACAGTGGTGGAAGCAGCCACTTAATAAGCAGGACGCGGTTGCTTGAAGTAAACTAGAGGGCATAATATTAAATTTTTTGTGTAATTAAACAGGCTTCCATTACACACTCAAATCTCGTTATAACGCAGTTGAAGGGGAGCCACAGTTATTTCGTTATATCCATTATTTCGTTATATCCATTATAACAGTTCGTGGCAATGTATGCTCAGATGGGTGCACACCTATAAGCATGCAAAGAAGGAAACCGCCTCGCGGCCCGATGTACCGCGACGCGACCACGCGTGCCACGGAGAATAAACTCAGTTGAATCTCATTATTTCAAACTTTCGTGGAACTTACGCTGAGGTCCCGTCAAAGCTATGTGTATTCCATTAAGCGAGAACGCCCGGTAATTAAAACGCGCAAGCACTTGCGACGGTTAATTCGAACATACCGCACTCCGGAATGCTCTCAGCACCATGCCCAATCCCGCGGCGGCACCTCTCAACAATGCGCGTGAAAAAGGAAAAGAAGGAAAGGGAAAGAAAAGACTGGCGGATTGTTTGCTCTCTCTTAAATGCCGATCTGCGACGCGCCTGTGCCACGCTTCTCCCTTTTCCGTCTCTGCACGTAGAGACCCTTCTCCTTTCAAGGTCACATGCGGAGAGAGAGAGAAAAAAAAGCTACCATGGAGAGTCCTCCTTTCTCAGTGCAGAGAGTAGCAGCCATGGTAGCAGCGGAGACGCAGTCGTTGCCGTCAACAGAGGGAAGTTGCTTTGCACCGCGGCGCCGCTTCTCAGTCATGTGACCCGCTGAGCGCTTCCTCAATCCTTTCTGCTGGCTATGAGAGGAGGACAGCTCTCTCGGCCGCGTGACGGGCGTGACTATAAGGTTGACGCGGGAGTTTTGAAAAAGCGGCGCCGAACGATCGTCAAGCTCCGCAGAAAACAATATACTTAACACACTACGGTCGTTTTTTTTTATAGACTATTTGATAGACTAACTTAGCTCGTTATATCTAGCTACCAGTCAATTATACTTCATTACAACGAGGTTTAAAATGCATGGTTCTCAATGGAGCTTTCAAGGGGAATTTCATTTACTTCGTTATATCCATTATTTCGTTATATCCTGTTACGTTATAACGAGGTTTGAGTGTAGTATAAGTACTGTTAACTTGTTCTCACAAAGGTATGAACTGTTTGTAAGCTCAGTTTTCCCGCCCATACGTAAAAATTTCTGAGAATAAAAACGTCATACCATGTTTACTGGGCTAAGTCTCTGAATAATACAGATTGGTTCTTGGTGATGTCACAGAGAAAAGAAAACACAATGATATTTTCAGAACGAGGGGGAAAATTCATCACACACGTTCGTATGCTTCAGATAAGGTCATTTTTATTTTTTTTATGCACTGTAAACAAAGTTCATAACATTTAGTTCAAATGATGCTATTTACGGCCAGACAGTGTAATGATGTGAGAAATAAGTTGTTCCTCAAACTTTAACAGTAGAACATTCGCACAAAATGCTATCGGAAACATATGTGAATCAGCCTCTCACGCCATCAGGAGCATATTACTGCTCTCGTGATTCAGGTTGTCGTTCGTGTTTTCTGCCTTCTTCCCCATATGCGTTTGTTCTTTAAAACTATTGAAGGCTGCAGGAATGAACACAAAATAGGTGCAAAGTGGGCATTATTTGCACAAACAGTGGATGATAGTTTCAATCTATGCGGTCGCACACAACGCAGGAAAGTTAAATGTACAACTGCATGCACAAGCTTTCCTTTTCTTTACCACTGTTTCACATGCTCACGGAAGACACAATCGTGGCACAATTAAAGAACATTTAACAAGATGTGCCACTCAATGTCATCGATCCACCGCTCACTCACCTCACTTGTCTCGCACTGCAATTATTACTTTGCTTTGCTACGTTTGTTTTTATTGGCGTATAGGGACCGCTTAATTCATGTTGTACATGCCCAACAAGGTACTTGACGTTTTTTTTTTTCTTGAACAGCGAACATACATGACGGACTTGCCCTGCGTTTCGCCTTTCACGTTTTCGCAAGCGCACACATCATTATTGAGTAATAAAAGAAGGTAGACATGCATAATAAAACGATGCGAGAGCTAAACCACCCTGAAAGAGCCTAAAGTGTTTCTCTAACAAGCGACGGCAACAGCAGTTTTGCGTGAGAAGGCAGGAGCAAAGTACCAGTTTATTTACTGCTAGTGCAGGTTGGAAGCCGGCTAAGAAGTGAAAAGGTGGGCGCCCAAGGCGTGAACACCACCACTAGTTTGTATGCAATGTCACCATTTGTAAAATAAGCAACAATGCAGAACTTTGACCTGGAAAGGCGCGCGGACGCCAAAGCGCAAACCGCTGCGCCAGCCCGTCCGTAGGCGTACAGTGTATTAGAAGACCCATTCTAGTACACTGTAGTAGGCGGGAGTCGCGGAAGGGGCATCTGCTCAAGGAAATCCGATAGCGTACAGCGCCACCACCGCATGCATCACCGAACGGCGGCAGCACAGAGAGCGGAGACGACAGACTAGCCAGTATATTTTAGGGACCATAACGATAGGAACGCAAAGAAAAAAAAAATAGGCATTTGCCTGAAATCCGATCTTCAGTCCCACAAACGCCATCTCAACATGCATTTGGACACTGCTCATGAACTTTCTGTGCGTTTTTTTTTTTGCATTTTGAGGAATAACAGCCCGAAAATTGCTTCAGTCCCCAGAGCTGCCGTATTCCGTTACACCCACGCTTTGCAGAGTATACTAAATCAAATCCAAAGGACTTAGCTGCCAGCCATTCTTCCTATAACGTCCCAATTACTTGCTATCTTATTCACTGCTTCTCCCTTGAAGTGGATTTCATTTTTTAGCACCATGATCAACGTTACGGAAAGTGCGCGAAGTGTTAATGGTGGTAGGAGCTTGAATGAGTGCACCACGTCGCAAGTGACAGCAGTACATGGAGGCTCGAAAGATTGCTTGGGAGCAGATTCAGTGCAATGATCCGTTTTGAAACAGTATGGCGCAGCACTTCCACTCCTGTATAAGGGTGGACCCTTCCAGACTTGACTCCATTGGGATTAATCATAGAACACACGGGCCTTAGGCCGCTCCCCCAATGTTCGTGAAACTAAAATCTATGCCATGTGCCGCCTATTGTGACTACTGCAACCAATAGCGATGCGGGTTTCACCCTTTTTAACTTGCTTTTGCTTCCCGCTTGTCAGTGGTCTTACTTTCCATTGAAGAAATACAGTGCTGTGGCTATTATACAGTGCTGTGGCTATTATAAACTTGGATGTCTCATTTTTACGATTATCCTAGTCGGCAGTACTGAACTTAGCGAAAGATTCAATATGCTGCATTCAAATTTGCATCACATCAGCATGTTCTAAACCAAAGTTTCTCATGTCACAGTTTTTGATGACAATATACTAATAAAATGCTTTGTATCACAAACTTCATCATAATGCTGAATGAGCAACAGAAAGACCAAGGATTAATTTGAACAAATGCAGAAAGTAAAAAAAAAATATTTTTTAGGACCATACAGACCATTCACATTGCCACCTTTCCCCCAATTTGAGTGACTTGCTCAAGATAAGAAATTGAGTGCGATTTTTTAGAGTTGGCACAAACTGACAAAAAAATATATTTTCTATGTTTTGGATACATTGGTTACATATTAATAATAAAACAAAAAGATAACAAAACTAATATTTTGAGTAAAAAAGGCATTGTAAGTATTATGAGCAATGCAACCGCCTTAATTTTTTCTCCCCCAATTTTGCAGTCTTTTGTCAAAGAAAGTCATGAAGCCTAGAGGCCTCACCTGGCTCAAGATAGCATTCAGAGGTGCTAGTGGTGGTCGTATCACTGGAGCCATTTTGCTGCCGTGTGCCTTTCTCGGGAGCTGTGGGAAGATAACAACAGACTTACTACACACTACAAAATACAATGTATGGCGCAATCGGATGACCGAAGTAGGGGCAAGCAAATAGTCTACAAATATATGAATGCGCAATGAGCAGAAGCCGTGGAAAGCAATTACAGCAGAATCTCGATGATACGAATTTGAAGGAAGCATGCAAAATACTCGTATCATCCCGAATTCGTACGTACCAAAAACAACTTGAAGCTTTTCATGAAGATGAACAAGAACTTTATGGGGGTCAACTACATCTTGCTGAAAAATGTCCATGATGTTCTTTTGAACTTTCCTGCCTTCACTGTGTCTCATTGAAGTGCCGCAGCTTTCTCACTAACTTCGCTGGCGCTAAAGGCACGTCTACACTTAAGCAACAAAAACAGCAAAACTCGTTGGAAGTTCAATTCTTCGTTAGTTTAGCGGCCGGGAAACTACACTGCGAAGATGACATGAAAAAATTCACCCTTGAGAATTCACACTAAAAAATTCAAGTGAGAGTGCCAGATTGGCTAAAAAATCATGTCCACGCCCGTCAAAAACGTACACATTTGTTCTGCCCCTCGTACATGCCACAACCGCCGCCACCATCGTCGCTTAAGAATTCATTCCATTTTGCCCATTTCTACTGCATTAAAATTCACACAGAGTTCTAGTGATCCAGTAAAAGCTCGTTAATTTGACACCCGTTAATTCAGAAATTCGGATAATTCGGATGCCTCTATTGGTCCCGGCCAAAGTGCATGTTAATCCATGGGACCAAACCTTCGTTATTTCGTCGGAATTCGGCTCCGCACCGCTTAATTCGGACAAATGCTGACGGCTGCTGCTACACAAAAGTGTGATAAAGCAGCGCTGGCACCACTGGAGTGAAACCGAAACCTGAGTGGCATCGCCATCATCATCAACTAGTGTGGGCGATCGCAGCGTCACCGAACGTCGGCGTCTTCTTTCTTCTCCACTCAGCGCCTCCGACGCCATTTTCCCTTGTGTTGTCGTGTCGGAACCATCTCTTCTTGCGGAGTTCTCTTTTTCTTCCATTGTGACCGTATTTGCATGCCACCACCATCGTGCGCTACAGTGATGGCAACGCCGAAAAAGCGGCAGAACTATGACGCGAAGAACTTGGCGACTAAAGAGGAAATTTTGGAAGCACTGAAGAACGGCAAATCGCGACAGCAGGTTATGACCAAGTACAACGTGAAGCGGAGCACGTTGGGAACGTACGTGAAAAATGAACAACAGATTCGACAAGCCTTTGAAAGCGATAAGTTTCATGCCTCCGCGACCTCATCGCACCTCACAGGAAGTCTTGGAGGCGCTGTTAATATTAGAGGACGCTTGCCTGAACACTCCTGACAGCTTGCGTGCTGTTGGCTATTTGGAACAGTTAAGAAAAATTGTGATGTCAGCTGGAATCTGCGCGAAAACGCAGACGACAACTACAAAATACTTCAACAAATAAAGGTATGCTTCTGCAGCTTGATTTTAAATCTTGTTTTCCCTGTTCATTCGTTAATTCGGCATTTGGTTAATTCGGACAGTTTTTCCGGTCCCGTAAAATCCGAATTAACGAGCTTTTACTGTACATGCAAAACACTGAAAAGAAACAGTTTACACCTTTACAAACGTTGTTTCTAGAGATACACTAGCAAAACAACCCGAGCAGATGCACTGCCAGCGGCGGATTCAGTTGGCAGTGCAAAAGCGAGACACGTTTGGGCATGTCAACTCATTGCTGCTGCACCCTCTTTCCCTTCCGGTGTTCTGAGCAATCCTAATCCAAACCAGGCTCTCAAACGCGCGCCCTTGTCAATGCCCTGAGCTTTCATGTGCTGTGTGGATAGTTTCATGATAGCGTTGACACCTTTGCCGCCATGTTGAATTTGAGGCAGGTTGTTTCCACCACATGATTTGAGATCTAGAGCAGCTATCTAAATAGGTGTAGCTAAAGTCGTGAAGCAAAAGGCGATCTGCTACAGTCGAACCCGGGTATATCGAACTCGCCAAAAAACGTTTATTAGTTCGATATATGGCATAATTCGAAATAGGCCCGGTATAGGTTTTGACACAAAGGCACATAACAAACTAGAAGAAAAGTACTTTATTAATATGGTGGCTTACTTGCGTGCCCTACTGTGGAACAAAATAGTCCCGGATTTTTTTCTGTGTCAACGACTTCGCTGCCTGTGACAGCACGCACACCTCCACGTTGTCCAACGAGTCGGAGCAGCTGAGGCCGCAACCTTCCATATTCAAGCAATAGCGCCGGACCAACGCAAGTGCACTAATCACTTCGGAGGATGTAGGCAATGGGCCGTCGTCGATTTCCATATTGCTGTGGCTTTGGCTCGTGGTCGGCACGACGTCTGCAATGTAATCCTCATCCTGTAATTGGCCCATGATGCGGACATCATCGTCCGCACTGACGAACTCGTCGAATGTCGATTCGTCGATAGCACCCGGGAACTCTGCCAGCTCGTTCCAAACTTCGGCGGAAACACCTGCGGTCTCTTCAGTGCTGTCAGAATTAGGGGTGTCATCACCAGGCATGCGGAAGCCGGCATCCTAAAGCAGTTTTGGATCGTCTCCTTCTTGACATCTGCCCACGATCTACTCAACATAGAAATAGCTCCGAGCAAGTCGATCTTAAGCTCCCTGCCGACACGAAGGTTCTGCAGCAGCCTCTCCACCAGGCGCTTCCGATAGCCGGCTTTCATTGTGCGTTTAACGCCTTGATCCGGTGGTTGCAGTACAGACGCAGTGTTCGGGAGCAAAAAATGCAGCTCGATGTTGCTGAAGGTCGTACTGCAGTGGTGCGATGAAGAATCGTCCACAAGCAGGCACGCCTTGCGATTTTCGCCTACCAAATCATCATTCCACGACGATAGCCATCTGCTGAAAAGCTCCCCGGCCATCCGTGCTTTTGAGTTTGCTCGGTAGGTAACTGAAAGCGACAGCGCATTTCGAAAACACCGTGGTGCCGTGCTTTTCCCGATAACCAGAGGTCGAAGCTTTTTCGATCCGTCTAAATTAGCTGCCAACAGCACGGACACACGAGCTTTGTTTGCCTTGCCACCGCTTGTCTTGTCGCCACGACACGCAAGTGTCTTGTCTGGCAACATTTGCCAAAATAGAGCGGTTTCATCCGAATTGAAGATATTTTGGGCTCTATATCTTGCTGTGATATCTCGCCAGTTTTCCTCAAGCCATTTTTCTATGCTGTCCAGGTCCACCGCTCTGCTTTCACCTGTAACAGCTTTGCTAACGATGTCGTGCCGTTCTTTGAACCGCTGAAGCCAGCCTGAACCGCCTTGGAAATCATTCCTGCCAAGCAGAAAAGCAAGGTCCTTGGCCTTCTGCTCGATCATAGGGCCGGACACCGGGATGTTTCGCGACCGAACGTCCACAAACCACTTGTAAACGGCCGCTTCAACATCTTCGTACACAGCAGCGCGCACACGTCTGGCGCCACAGGCACCTGGCCTTTTGTCCAACTTGGCCCTGATGTCTGCCTTTTCTTCAGGATAGTACTCAAGGTGCTCCTTGGAATTTTGTACGCGGCGGCGACCTCGGACTTTTTTTCACCGCGCTCAACCCGATTGATGATTTCGAGTTTCGCGGCGAACGGCAAATTTTGCCTCTTTGCGCAAGCCATGATGACAGCGCGCCAATACAGTTCACAGAGCACCAACAGGCAACACCACAGACCACGCTGAATCGGCAGTAGCAGGCACACAAGCATAAACGAAGAAAAAATGGGGCTCACTTTTACCGCCTCCGCGGCTCGGAGAAAGCACGACGGCCTCTGATTGGCTGTAAGCGCTGCGAGCGGGCCAGGATCATTTCTAGAAGGGGGGTGTTCGCCCGCGCACAACCGGGTCTAACCAACTTTTTTTAGGGTGGCGCCGGCAGTTTTTCCCGCCACCGCGAGGGAAAGCCAACTTGCTGGGGCACTTTTGAGGCACATGGAGTTTGATATATCAGTTGTCAATGCTGTTTTCGTTCGATAAAACAGTAACTTTTGCTATATATTCTCAATGTAAACTTACCGTGTTTAGGAATTGTTCGATATACGGGATAATTTGATATAAACGGGTTCGATATAGTTGAGCTCGACTGTATCGCGTGGTGGGGAAATTGGTCCCAGGCCAATTTTTTCGCCTTGGCCTCGAAGCGTGGTTTTCTGGCCACTTAGGCATCGAAACGGGAAAAATTCTGGTGAGTTTTGCCGCATTCGCTCTCTTCGATGGCAAGGGTGAAGGGGCCTTCTTTTCACAGACAAGCATGTTGTGCCGCTTGCGTGCGCGGTTCATCACACAATCCTATTATGCACGATGGGTGGGGAAACCGTTCATGTAACACCAAATCAACCTTAAAAAAAGACCTTAACCTTACAACCTTAAACCTTACAACCTTAAACAACCTTAAAAAGAGAGACTGGTCTTAAAACTGAAATCTTTATTATTAGACATATTTTAATGAAGTGAGGTGTTATATGTGTTTCATTCTTCTGTTTTCAAAAATGCAATTACTTCGACTGTACCTCAATTATTTCTCATATTATGAAAAAATAAGTGAAGCCCAATTAGGTCATCTCATATGGGTGATTAAGTCATTTTCCCCCAATATTTTTTGGTCCAGTTTAAAATTAAGTTGTAGCCAAAGATCTGCCATGTGGAGCTATGCCATTCATATTTATGCTGTGTGGGGTCTCGACGAGGCGAGCGAGCACCACGCTTTTGGAGTGAATGGACACAGTTGACACGGTTGGTACAAACCAAGCAACAACATACATTTATTTAACTGATTTATAACGACGATATCGTCCGCCGAATTGATACATAACTCGTTATGTAATACACTAGGACATCGTTACACAATAAGATGACAAACAGGCTAACACACCCCAGGCGGGGTCGCCAACGCTTGACTTACCACGTGGGACCCTGGCGCGAAGCCCGCGGTGCTGAGCACCGGGGACCCAC